TACTATGTTCTTTAGATATTGATTGAGATGGTTCGTGACGATCGAATATTAGTTCGAAAGGAGGTATCAAAGTCAAGATTGAGTTACGGCAAATGCAATGAATGAATAATGGTTCTTTTGTACAAATAAGATGCTTGCGCTCAAATCGATTATTCAATTTGATAAAACTTATGATAGGGGAAAAATTCCAAAGCCAAAGGTTGTAAAACTGTGCCAAAAATAGTTTGAACTCAACAGTTCAACCGGTTCAGTTTGCCAATGACGTTGGTTTTGGATAAACCAAGACGAAAATAAATTTAAACATTCAAAAAATGAAATGCTTGAAATTCACCACACTGTTGTCAGAATTGTACAACCCTGATGCTGGTATGTCGGTTGTGTACGATACTCACCACCATTGTACATGTATTGTATTGCATTGTTCTATAACACTTTGACAGTCCGCCAACGAAAAAATATATATATAATTTTCTGTGTCCACTCCGGTTTGAGTGTTGCATTTTAGTATTGGACGACATTTTTGTGTCTTTCATTTGATTTTTTTCGCTATCAAAACCAGAAACCATTTCAACCGTCCGTACATTTGACCATATAGCCTTTGTTCAATTTCAATAAAGTGTGTATAAATCGGAGTTTCAAGCAGTGAATTATGATGCCGCCAAAGCCGAGGATGTTGAGCATACACACAGCAGAGTTAAAACCGCAACAATAACAGCTAAAATGCCGCCAAAGCCGAGGTTTGCCGACGGTAAGCCCAGTTTGATTATCACAGCTCAGCAAAATACACAATAGAATTCTTTGTTTTGTGCGTTTATAGGTGAGAAGGTGCTGTGTTTCAATGGTCCATTGTTGTATGAAGCCAAAGCATTGAAGAGTAAGACACACTTTAAAATTACTATACCATTACTGTAGAATTGTTATCCATTCTTTCGATTACTTTCCCATTACGTTTTATTATCATATTATTCTCATTCAAGAAGAAATTGAGTGTATGTGAGATTGAGAGAGAGTTAGTATATCTGAGTGAGTGAATGAGTCGGTGAAAGATGATTGAAAACCATTAGAATATAACACTCGAATGTATCCACATTTCCATTCTTTTTTTGTGTTTACGCTTAGGTAGCATCGCTATGGGCAAACAAGTGGTATATTTAATACATTATGTTGTATCGGATGAAAAGAAATGGGTTACCGAAAATTGTGTTCTCAAATTCAATGACGCCAATTTATACTTACAAAAGGTTATATCTGCTGAGAATAAGAGAGGTGAGTCCTTTGCCATCATTATTGTGAGCAAAAATATAATAAACAAATCAAATAACAATATAACACTCATTCAGTCACAGCTTCAAAGCAAAAGAAACCAGATGCATCGGGCAAAGACAGCGATTCAGACGCATCTACACCATGGAAAGAGGTGACAGCGGCCGATCAATCGTTGTCGACTTTTTCTAACACACCGTCGACATCGCGATGTCGAGATGCACCAAAGCCAGCATCAGCCACATCAGTCACTGGTACACCGAACCAATGACGCCCGAGTTAAAACAAGGTGGATCTGAACGAGATAGCCGAGATGAGGGGCCAAAGTATGTATTGAATTGATTTTGAATGCTATTAGAAGATTGTTTTTCTCCACAATAGATCCATAACGCTGACTGATTTGGTATGAAAGAGAAAATGTTATGTTACGTTGAACAGTTTAACAAAATAGACAATTATACCGCATACAAAGTATACTCGATTGACGTCAGTGTTGAGTCATGAGATTGAAAAATGTGATTTTCCTAAAATTTTACATCAATTTTCCACATTATTCTCAAAATCACCTTTTTCCACTAACTTACTTCCTCTTATCTATTTGTCTTTTCTATTTTATTCAGGACAATTATGTTGAAGGCAAATAATGGTCAAATCTTCGAATCAAATGTAAACGAAGTTATGAGAGCACTAGAAGCAGTGAAAGTTGAAGTCGCTAGGCCAATCTCCGTAGCCGAAATAAACGAACCAAGTGGTATCCAACATATATATGAATTCATGAAGCAAAAAATATGTTGTCTTCCGGTATTTGCCCATTTCTTTTTAATGTTAACTGCACTTGCTCTTACGTTTCTTTTTACCAGAGAAAAATCTCCGGTCATTCAATTTTCATTATTTGTTTTACTATCATTGCTTACTTTGTAATTGTTTATGTTGTTTATAAAATTTGTAGCATTTGTGCGATTGGAGCAGTACAGATTGGTTGAATTTTGTTCATTTGAAACTAGATCGTTTTCCCTAGTCTTCATCTTGTTAATTTTCATTCATCCTCACACAATTTCAATTTTTTGTTTTTTTTTATTGCGCACATACACACATTTTAAATTTTTTGAATAAATTATGAAATAATACTAAAATAAGAAAGTTACCTAGCTTTCTAGTGAATAGAGTGAAAAAAATCGTTTTCTAATATTTGATTTTATACATTTACAGCTTATTTTAAGAAAAATCTACTCATCAAAAGTGATGGCTATTTGGCAACGAGTGACAAAAAAGTAATTGAACTAGTACAATCATCTTGCACATTTCTATTGTATTTTGACCAAGTTTATGTGTATGCAACATGTGTAGGACTTTCTCCAATATTTGGTGAAAAATATCAGCATTTATTTTAGTATGCAACACTTTGTGAATGTGATACCGGAGTATTCACGAAAGGTACAATAAACAAACCATTGACAAATCTATTGAAAATATCGATAAGATAAGATTTAATATGTTAGGTTTCAAAGCAAATGAAAGATAAATATTTTTTTTTCTTGTTTCTTCCACTCATAAAAAATGGAGCAATGCAAAAAAACTATGAAATAAAAAAAATAAGAAAAAAAAATTGTTTTCACACGGAATCGAACCTGAGACTTTCAGTGTCATGCACCGTAAGCGTAGCCACTGAACCAATGCAATGCTTAAAATTTTGAGGCACCAAATGGATAACTTGAAACTCATGGTATTCATAATTTGTATATACGCAATTAGATGAACTAATACAAATGAGAAATAAAACGTGTTTTTGTGCATAACATTCCATTTCCAATAATCAGAACACAAATACAGCCATAGCATATAGATTATAGCGATTATAGAACGTAACATCATCTATACGTAATATACATCTGTGATTTTCATAGTAGGAACATTGTTTTGTCAACGACTATACGTTGTAATGGACAAGTATATAAACATGGCGTCGTCCAAATGAATTTAAAAATCCGTCCACTCGTGTCGACTATATCTAGCACGGTAGTAGGGATTTCATTGCTGTGAAAATAAATGAATATATTAGCAGAGAACGGGGTGAATCGCCGCACTTTTTGGAGCCTAATATCTCGACAATTATGATAAATAATCGTTCGAATTGAATTTCTAAAAACTCTAAAATACTATTTAATTAT